TACTTGATGGAACCTGACTTTAAGTCCAGAGTTGAGAATCACCTGGCTCCACTTAGGGCATCAAGAGTATCATCAATTACTGGCAGTGGGTATGAGTCTTTTTCGGTTATACTGTTAAGAGCCCTTAAGTCCACACAGCAACGTTGGGTCTCATCGCACTTCTGACACCAATTTGTTATGTCTCTGGTCGTTAGTTAACTTCCCATATAATTTCTTTCCGATGAAACTTTAGCGACACAAGTCCTTTCCTTAAATAAAACTAGTTTATTCTTTCTCAATACAACTTTGAAATTCACTTAATTTCAACGGTCACACTATAAGTTAAACAAACGCTATAATTTACAATGAATGACTCACGTGCTCGACTCAATCGTCAGTCTCTCTGTCTGCAGTTCAATTACATTGTTGCCATCAGTTCTTACCGGTCTTGTATATACAAGAATACCGCATATCTAGTAATCTCTCGAGACTTCAGGAAGCTTCGAGAATATGGCGTGTTACTAGCGTCACGTGACCTCCGCTGTCGTAACATTATTTTATGTATCATATTGTTATGTCTCCGTTCGTCAGTTAATTTTCCGTAAATTCGTTCCGACGAAACTTTAGCGACACAAGTCCTTTCTTAAATAAAACTGGTTTATTCTTTCCGAATACAACTTATGAAACACTTAATTTCAACAGTCGCTCTATAACAACACTATAATTCACGTCTCACGTGGCCAACAACATTTTGTCCGCATACATTCAATTAGTCATTAACTCTGTTGTCCCGTCACGTTGTCAACGTCTTATATATACAAGAATACACTATATCTAGTAATCTCCCGACAATTCACGAAGGTTCGAGAATTACGTGGCGTGATACTAGTCACGTGACCTCGCTGACGCAACAATATAAACTACAATGTTATGTTAAAGCTATAAAGTCACGTCTTTAATTCTTCCTGGACTATCATCATCACACTGCACTACAGCAATCATGAATTTATCAGAGATTTGTAATGTAGTCACTGAGCCATGCATTGACACTAACAATTTATTGACACCAAAATCACTTGACGAAAAATGCTAAGTTATTAGTAATTTATCAAGTGCTGAAAAGTATTCCTATCTTTATAAGCATGTGGCATCACCAAACATTTTTCTACCACCTTTTCTCATGGGTGTAACCACAAGTTTAAAATAGTTTGGCTTGAAAAATACCAATGGTTATTATACAGCCCAATATTGGATAGCATATTTTGTGTTCCTTGTGCTACCCTTCTTCCAGTGCATAGTCAACGTGATAAAGTAGTACTTATCAACAAATCATTTAACAACTGGGTAAAAAATAAGTGATACTTAAAGCAAATCATTCTAAGCTTGCTTATCATCGTGATTCTTTGCTGGCTGCCGATGCTTTGAAGGCTTCCATTAAACATCCACCATCCAGTAGAACTAATATTATTACCAGCAGTGCCCTTCAAGCTTGTATAACTTAGAATAAACATATTATTCATCAAAGTGTTCATGCCATTTTGTTTTTAGTAAAACAAGGCTTGGCATTTCGTGTTTTTTACCAAAGATGTAAATTCTTTCAAAAATCCTGGCAATTGTCTGGCCTTTCTTAAACATTATACATAAAATGATGAAATACTGAGAGCTACATATTTATCTCACCACTCCCAATATTACATCATCAATGTCATGGGGTATGATGTAATTCAAGTAAAAATTATTGATGAAGTAAAAAAGGCTGGATTCTACTCTCTGTTCTTGCTGATTGAGTGCCTTCTCACAATGTACAACATTTACCAACATGTCTCTGTTTTGTAGATAACAACTGTGAAATTAGGGAAAAATTTATTGGCATTGTTAAGTTACAGAGGGTCAGAGCAACAGATACTGTATGTGCAATTACAAAGATATTGACTGATGTTGGATTAACTCTAAATGAATTTCATGGTCAAGGATATGATGGAGCATTCACCATGGCTGGCGAAAGATATGGTGTCCAAATTCGAGATATGCAAAGCACGGCCTTGTGCACTCATTGCACAGGTCACTCACTTAATCTTGCTATTATAAATTCATGCTCAGTTCCACCAACACGAAATCGTATCGATCAAGTTAGTTTAAAGGTATAACTATTTGGATTAAATCCTCACTTAAACGTGGTGAACTATTAAAGGCGATCTATCAAAAGTGCATCCAGTATGGAGCAGCTTCATTACGTCTTCCACTACTTAATGTGTGCATATCACGCTGGATTGAGAATACTGAAGGTTGGGAAAAGTTCTGTTTATGTCATCCATTCTTACTTCACATGTATGATGTTATTGTGTATAGAGATGATAATATTGAAATGGGGCTTCTGAAAATAAGAAAAATGCCATGGCCTATCTAAAGATACTGGAATTCTTTTGAATTCATTTTTGTTTAACCACTTTACAACACTCCTTTTACTATTTGAAAAAATCTTCTGTAAATTTGCAAGGTCCAAGCCAAGACATTGTTTCTAGTGTTTCCCTAATAGAACAATGTTGTAAAGAACTGACTTCATTAAGAGTGAATGTATATGATTATTCACATCGTATCTTCAAGCACGGCAGTAATATTGCAAACAAATACACAAATACAGAATACAGTTCCTTGGAAGATTACTTTAAAAAACAGTAACCATTACTTTTCTTGACCACATTATCAGTAATCATTCCTTCAGATTTTATGCACATGTAAACCAAGGAACATCAACTTAGAAACTTATGCCATTAAAACTCACACAAGAGTTTTCTATCTATGATATCAGACAGGCTATACATTTTTTCAGGGAAGATTTACCAAATCTTGATAGTTGTGATGCTTCAGTGTACCAAATATCTTTATGATACTGAAAATACTTGTCATATTGCCACTAAGTTCATTTTCATGTGAATGTTTGGCATCTGCTTTCTGCTAGCTGAATAATTACCTGAGGTGTACACAAACCAAAGAAAGACTGAGTGCTCTAGCTTTAATACATAATCATTATGGCACTGCTATCAACATTAAAACTGTATATAAGTTATTTATGGAAAAGCACCCCAGAAAAATAGAGCATGCTAACATGTTATTTCCGAAGTATGTACATGTACATATGTGACGACCAATGATTGAAACAGCTAATAACAGATTTAATTTCATAGCACCTACTTTTTTTACAAATTTTCGGGGGGGGGGGGCATCTTTTCATGTTGATTGTGCTTAGCATAATATGTGTTTGCTTTTGTTTGAATATACCAAGTATTTATATCTTATTGTAATATTATAGTATTTATTCTGAATTTATACTATGATCTGTATATATGCAGGTTTCACGTAATACGTGGTCAAGAAAGTAATTAAGATGAGTTCATTAAACCCTGCCTTTGTTCCTTTGTTGTTCTCAAAGTGGATAATACATGTTCTACCAATGATGTTGTTGCACAATACTATATCTTGTGTAAGTATGGTGACAGCAGTGTCCTTCAACAACTATACAGGTGCTGTCTAGAGGTTACAACCTCATAGTCCCCACCTATATTGAGAATGACCAGTCACTGAGTAGCACTGGCCACACCGTGTAAATGCAATATTTCTTGTATGCTAAGGAACTTTGCATTTGGTTACTCTGTCTGGAGCATCATCTTGAATGAGTTTAGTCTGGAACAGAATCCTGAAGAGGTAACCATTGAAAATATTCAAACAGAATGACAGTTTATCCTGTTTATTCAACCAAGTGCACACATACTGATTGTGTTTTTATGTAGAAATAAAGATAATTTCATTGTGTTTTGCATATTGTGTCTAGACTCTTTCTTTATCAAATTCAGTCAAAGTCAGAGAACTCTGAATTACTTCATAATAGATATTTTGTTGATCTCTCAATTATTAAATAGATCTATCTCCACAAATTCAACAATTAAAGCTTGTTTTTCGCAAATTTAAGAACTGAAAAGTATAATGAAATATGAAGGATTTATTCTTATAATCTCACCTGAATTAGAAAGAACATCATTTACAGTCACATTTTGAGTTTTTTCACCCCACTGTTCGCCAGCAGGCAACTGATAAAGTTTTTGAGACAGTACTAGCTTCTGGCTTATCTACATGCAATAAAACCGTGAAACACATTAACAGTACAAAAATGGAATATTTTGTCCATCAGAAATTGAAAAAATAAAAACAAATTCGAATGGCTGTATTAATATACAAAACTGCTCAACGATTCTATGTGTATTTTCTTATTTTTATTGACCAGTCTGTAAAAAAATGATTTTTTTTAAGGAAAACACCTCAGGCTGAGAGTCTCACAGTAAATATAAATGTGTATTCCCTAAAACAATGGTACCGCTACCATTTTTCGTTTAGGATTCATTTGTAACAATTAATGGCCAATCATGACCAAGTAAATAGCTTTAATGCAAAAACATATGGCTTACTAAATAAATAAATAAACTATTATCTATTTTAAAATTTTTGCACATTCTGATGACCTAATTTTGGATCACGACCCACGGATTAAGGATTAAAGCTAAACCACTAAAGCAGCAATCAGTTTATAATTTTTCTTGTTAATCGCTTAATGAAATGAAGTAAGTTATTTAATTCTACAATCGAAAAATATTTCAATTTAAACTGGGCTAAATGCATTTAAGTATAAAACTTTCACACTTAGTTTCAAAACGATGCACGAGTATTGTTTCAGAAACAAATGGTAAGAGATGGGGATTTGTTGTGAATACAAGTACGGTTGTAGTTAGTACTGTTACGCCTCCGTTCGTTGGTTAATTTTCCGTATAATTTCATACTGAAGAAACTTTAGCGATACAAGTCCTTTCTTAAATAAAACTGGTTTATTCTTTCTAAAATACAACTTTGCAATACAATTAATTTCCACGGTCACGCTATAACAAACGTTATAATTCACAACGAACGTCTCACGTGCTCAACAATATGTCTCTCTCTCTCTGTCCGCAGTTCAGTTACACATTACATTGTTGCCGTCACGTCTTGACCGTCTTATATGTACAAGAATACCGAAATCTAGTAACCTCCCGAGGCTTCATGAACGTTCTAGAAGCGCGTGACGTGTTACTAGCGTCACGTGACCTCCGCTGTCGTAACAGTACACAAATGGAAAACAACTCAGTGTTTATATCCATATAATAAACGATTAGGACTTCAGGGACGTGTTGCACTTTTAGTTTTATGTGCAGTTTCTATTACATTTTACACTGATGTTAATTACATATGATTTTATTGTCCTAAGTATTTTCGAATTCGTAGGAAAATGACGTACTATCTGCAGGGATGCCAGCTTTTAGGAATTTGTTTGAGTAATGAAGCAAAATGGTCCAATCAGGTACATTTATTGGATCACTATGATGCTGAATTTGATCTCGATCTAGCCTGTCAACCAATCACAATTCGTTACAAAAAGAACTAATGCTTATGATGATACAAAACGAAAAATAAATAAAATAATACCTGAATTGTTCATGAAAGTGTAATAATGTTAAATTTAATGCAAAGAAAACAACATTCTAAGCATAGTATGTGGTGTGTCTAGAAACCTTGTCAAATATACCATGTAACAAATACATAGAGTTAGCTTTGTTTGTCTGTTTGTAATTAAGCACAAAGTTACACAATGGGCTATCTGTGCTCTGCACACCACGGGTATCGAAACCCGGATTCTAGCGTTGGAAGTCCGTAGACATACCACTGTGCCACTGGGGGGACCATAGAGTTAGCTATAGGAAGTAATATATAACATTAAAAATTCTGTAAAAGCAGGAAAAGAAACACAATAAGACTCTAGAAAGTAGAAAGTTCAATGAATATAATAAGACTTAGAAAAGGAAGTGACAACACTCATCAATATGACAAAGAAGGTAATCGTCAAAAACTACTTTAACTAAACTAATGACATAATGCGATACTGTATACGGAACTGGTAGATAGCTAATATTAACTATATATAATAATAACTTAAATTAACAAAAGGTAAAAAGCAATTATAGTCAATACACCAAAGTTTTTCATTGTTATCCTAAACAATAACCCAATGAATTAAAGTGTTGGCATGAACGTTTTTATAAGATCGTGACCCTCTATTAAATATCTAAACCCTTAATCTATACCAATGATATTGCTGAATTTCCCACAGAATTGAATGAACTTTGTACTTAAAATGCAAAATGTGAAACCTTGATTATGAACAATGAAAGTGAGTTTACAATCTCTAACTACAGAACCTTGTAATGATAAACAAACTCTATTGTGTCTAATAAGCTTAGAGTAGTAAACATTGTACCATAAATTAGTGTTTTACACAATGAAAAGCATCAAAAATAAAATGAACACGGCACATAACCTACTCCAACTGCTTGATTTGTTCTTCAGTCAGGTTTGACTTCAAGAAAGTAACCACCATCAGTGTCATTAAAGGGGTTGAAGATCTTGCTAACATAATCATTCCTGTGTTTTAGTGCTCAGACCACAGGAAAAATCTTTATTAGCCTCACAGAGATTCTGCATGGTAGAGGTACGTCTCTTCTGGTTGGAGATTCATTTGTACTATCTTCTCTTCTGTATTAAAAATATCTGGTAAATGCAGTTAAAAATGATGAGATAACCAAAACAGTCAGTGATTCTATGATATACAACAGAAAACAGGCATGAAGGATGTATGCTCACATGTATAGAACTTGGCATTGCCTGGTGGATAGGGTGCTCGACTTGCAGGAGAACATATTCGCCCTTCATTGGTAAAAAGCAGCTCAAGAGTTGACAGTGTGTGGTGTTGGATAGCTGATTTCCCTCTAATTTATCACCTTTTATAATTAGGGATAGCTAGTGCAAATAGTCATAGAGTAGTTTTGTGCAAAATTCAACAAACAAAATTTCCATGATTATTGTCTGCTGATAATATATCCCTAACATTTGTGGTTGTCCTGGTCCACCAGGTTTCATCTGATCTCACAGCTGACCTATGTGTATGGGTGCTGCCCACTATCATTACTGCCATGACAACAACTAACACAGCGACCATAGAACCCAGCCACATTCCTTTCACCACTGTGACTCTTATACAAATAGAGAATCAGGTCCAGCAGGAAAGAAATGAGGGCAAGAGTACGAACTCTGTTTCCTACGGAAGTAATCAAAATAAGACAGTCACCATAATCAGGCCAACCTCGATCTTTTGACCATGGAAATTCATCAACACTGACGTGTTGCTTCCTTTTAGACTCCTTCCACATAAAATTTTATCAGAGCTAAATGCAATTACACAGCAATACCAAATGAAATAGATAGATGTTACATTTCATTCATGAGTTGATTCACACATTTTAGTTAGCAACACTCTCAAATCTAGTGGAACTATTACTATTCTATTTAGATCCATATCAATCTGATATATATTCTGTATTGAGAAAAATGTCGTTCTGGGTAAATGTGAGGTTTCTTGCAGACTAAGGAACGTTGCATATGAACAGTCTGTTACTTGAATGTTTGGAATAGAAGATACAGTAAAAGTCATTGTCTCAAATAAGAAAATAGCATGTGCAAACACTGTGTTTGTGCTTTACTGTGATTATAAAGATTGTACATTCTATTTTACACTTCATATCCACTTCCATTATTTCACTTCAGATTGAATCAGTCAGCAAGAGGTAAAATATCACTGAAAAATTGATATCTTGATCGAATATTCTATTATCTATCAGACTTACTTAATGCAGTTCTGAAGTTAATTCAGTTTCACCTTGATATATCACATATTCACCACTTGTCACTGATTTTTGGAATTTTCACCTTTCCTTTGGAAGTCTCAGTCCGTTTTGCAACTGGGATTCGTCTGGCTAACTAACTGCCATACGAAATGCAACTCCAGTAGGAATGTTATGAGATATTTTATTTGTCCAACCTAAGTCATGAGGTCCACTAGAGGAAATATCTTGATATTACAGATACTGATGTTGATCAGTTATAAAACCTCCACATACTCAATCACACAGCTCTTCCAAGTGAGGTGGTAAGCTGTCTTTGTGTGAAGATATAACATCAGACTTTCCTACATATTGTCTCGAAGGTGACTACCTGATGTTCTTCAATGTGGAAGTACTATCTATACAACTTCACATCTTGCAATGTCCTATCCAGAGTTGTCTCGAATTTCATGAATTGTTGTATTTATTGCCCTAACGATGATACCCTTATTCTTCAAATCGATGAGAGTTCTTCCAACTAAATAATCTATCTCTTGTTTGTTGAGACACAATTTCAAAATTTACAGCGCTGAACTGACTTAAGAACTAACTAACTATCTGTCTGGCTAATTCACTCGTGTTTGTATATATATATATATTATATATATATATATCACAATATTTGCTTTCCCTCAAATCTCATGAAAATTTAAAATGTCATGTCAAATCTAGACACTCAGGAACCTTCTAAGCAACACGCGTCATCACTACATCCTGCTAAAACTCCCTCTCGTAAACAATACAAAATGTTTAAATTAAAATATAAAAACAGCCTACAACACAATCATAATATATCTATTAGCAAAATAAAAAACTGGAGCTTAGGAAAGGATAAAAACGGCACAGAAGAAATGTTTTCATATCATAGTAATTTAAGTTCCAAAAAACTTTACAAAATGCATTTTGTTTTGTCAATATATTTCAAATTCCTTATAAAGTTATAATACAACAGTTTAAGAGTCTCTCACGTGACCATGAATGCTCTATTAGCTACTGAACGTTACTAAAGTCTGAAGTAATTTTTATATGTGACCTAAAATTTTTTATGGTTAGTATTATTTTGTACAATGACAACGTATATGAATGCCTAATTAAAAATAATGTGAGAAAATTTATAACTGGAATATAAAAATAATTTTTATTTCTAAATTCTAAATACTACAAATCCTATCTAGGTCCAAGAGGGAGGGGAAGTTCGGGATATTAGCCAGGACCTATTGCCTACCAGAAGTCCTATTAGGTTGGCAAAAATTGAAAAAATGTGTTCGGATTGTATCAAATCAGTGCGAAACGTTGAATCAAATATTAACCGCACTTTCAATCACTTGTACATGGCATTGTTGCGTCATCGAGATCATGTGATTCTCACGCTCTCTACTTTCTAGAATTATCCTGTACTTTGGCGAATGTTCTAGTTCTTACTAGATATAGGGTAGGCGGGTATATAAAAGAGGGGAAAACGTGACGAGATTAATGCAATGTTTGTATAGATAGTGAGTAATTGAACTGCAGTCAGAGAGCACTATTGATGTTCGTTGTTACAGCG